AGCACTTAAAACATTTTATTAAAGTGACACATTCGTGCCCATTTCAACTTCATTGTAACTTCGTTTAATTTTAAGTTTTATGTCAAATTAACTGTATCGTATAGTATGTGCTTCACTGCTACTTGAAATTTTCCGAATATTTTCTCTACAGGCGAAAATTACAATAGTGGTTTGTTTATGTGGTAGCAAAGAAACAATATTACTTGCGTTGCCATCTTAACAAGTTGAGTTTGTCTGAAATGACAGAATGCTGACTCTTCCTGGAAGTTCAGATTTTCTTGTGATCACCTGGCTCTAACAGAACAGAAAAAAAATTCTTTATCCGGAATTTCCATCTTCCTCTGATATTAAAAAATCCGCATCTAAAGACGCTCTGACTTTTATTGTCGGAAGATCCTTCTTTGTGTTTAGTTAAAAACAATTTATATTAATTAATTGCTAATTAAAATAGGGTAAACTTCAACAGAAATTTTTAACTTAATTAAAATGAATTTGTAAAACGTCTAAATAAAGTGTGAAATAGATGTCCAAATTACTACAAATGTTTTAGACAAATAAGCTTGGACTTTAAATGCTATTTCTGTTTAATCTTTAACTAGCTTTTGAAAAAAAAGTTGTGTTTGTTCAATACAATATATATTTCATAGTTATCTTGGGTTTCAACTGTCTTTCGTTGAACGTAAGAAAATTCGAACACACATTTTCTGATTTAAGGAAACAAACTTGTTTGGAAGAGCAATGAATATTGTTGTTGCAATGAGAGATATTTCATTTATGAATTCAGGGTTGCATTTGAAATTTTGTAAGTTTTTACAGTTTGGTAACAATTGATAGTCACTTCACAAACATTTTTCACATAACGTTACCATTTGAGCACCACATACACAAACCAATTTTATTCGTTTCATGTTTGAACGAAAAAGTATGCCGATTTAAATATCATTTTTCGTTCAAAATCAATAAACATGTTTCACATGTCAGTCTGAATGGCACTTCACATTTCCAATTGACCTATGTAAGAAACGGCTTTGTCTAAAAACTTTGAAGAAATTTTATGTTCATACTGAACATCTATATAATTCTTCACGATTCTTCACGATTCATATTAAAACTACTCTCACATTCGCATTCGATTATTTTTAATAGAAACAAAATGCTTTTCATATATATATTCTTTCTTACTAAGTCATCATGTAAAGTTAATCCTGCAAATTGATTTTTAATTTTATTGAAATATAAATAAAAAGCTATTATAACAAAATTACTTTAAATACATAATGAAAAATTGGAAGCTCTGTTTACTATATTTGCTTTTCTTTTAAATAAAAAGACATATTTGCATATTTTGCAATTTTCCGTCTGTCCGGTGGTATATTCAGAATACACAACAATAGGCCTGAAATTTAATAATAATCAAATTCAAAAATGTTAATAATTACAATGGCGATAAATAATTATAAACTTTTAAAGAAAAATAAAATTCTAACATCGCTAATCCATATCACTAAACAGCATGTATGATAATCTAATAACTGCACAAAATTATTTATTTAATTAATAATTGCTTTATTAGTACTTGAATTTGCTCTATATACGATATGCTGCGAACATATAGTAGATTGATAAATCTGGATTCAATCTAGATTTAATCTAGATCTGTCAAATTTTGTTGCCCAATCGAACATTTTTAGAGTAATCTTAAATTTTTGTAGTTGCGTTAGTAAATAAACCAATTAAAATTATTGATCATATTCGAGTTCTTTTCGAGTCTTCTGCCTGATTAAAACAATCATAAAAGCGCTTATTTTCTGATCAAAAATGATTCTTTTATCGGGAGAAAACGTTACTCTACCTGCGATTCTTCTTGAAGAGTTTTTCATGATTCACTTCTCCAATCAGTTTTGACACATTTTCGATTCGTATTTATAATCATTTGCGAGTCTTCTAAGAACCAATTATTAGTATTTGTAATCATCTACATTTTGTTATTGAACTTACAAAAAATCGCATCTTAAGCGTTGTCACATGAAGTTAATCAGTTTTCATATCAAAAGTGCTCGAATAAGACTCAGCAAGGTTGCATACAATATTCACTACAAAATCTTCACCTCTATTCTATTCCGTTTTCAGAAATGGTAACAAGTTAAAAAATATATCTTCATCTGCATTTGCAATCATATGGAAAAAATATGGAAACAAATCGCACTTTCTTCTCTGTCAAACAGTGGCGTAACTACATTTTTTAGGCCTGTAAGCAAATTCTAACTAAGGGGCCCCTACCAACATACTAAGGGGCCCCTCTTTTTATACTCTTTATACGAAAAAATGTAAAAAGGGTATATAAGGTTTGTCAAGATTTTCGTAACGCATTAAAGGAAACTTCGGAAATACCATTAAGTATATATCAGTATACTTTTACAGTTCAAACTACTCTCTCAGCTTTTGAACTCTTCGAATGAAACTTTATACACATACTTTTCGGGAGCGCACCCTGTTCACCATTTGATTTGATTGAAATTGGACGTCTATTTCTTGTAGCTGTGATATAAACTTAACAATCGGATATGAGGTTTCTCCGTTTTTAATAAAGGTATTCAAATGGAATTTGGTGTATACAGTACTGATATTTGCAAAAGACAACGTACAAAATTATTTTCAAATGGGTTTAAACTTAGATATAGCCTCCATATAAACTCTCGATTAAGACACATATTTTTCTTAGAAAAACTTTTTTATTTCATTAATAGGTTTAATATTTTATTTGAAGTACATACATATTATGTACTTTAAATTTAAAATTTACGTATCTTTTATAAAATGCAATATGAAGTTATTCCAACAAAAAACGTTTCGTCCCACTTTTGATAATTTATTAAAAAGAAATACAATGAATACAAAAATTTATAGTGGGGCCCCCTAAATTCAGGGGCCCGAAAGCGTTGCTTCCAGTTGCTTCCCTGTAGTTACGCCACTGCTGTCAAATGATATAAAACAGCTGTTTCAGAGTAATCTTGCTACTCTGGCGAACTATCTAGAGTGTTATAAATTATTCTCGAGTGTTATATATTTCGCCCGAGATTTACCAATCAGAAATGAAAACTAAACGTGAATCTTGATTACAAAAGTCAGCCCAGATTTACCAATCGAAAACGCCAATAGTTGAATCTGCTAATATTAGGTGTAGTGAAAAGAAGTCCATTATTTTCCCAATAAATACATAGCTTTAGTTACCTGTATTTCTCGTTGTATAAGCCCGATCGGATTATGGCGCTAGATGGCGTTAGATTATGCTATACAGGCGATCTCAACGGTTCCACTTAGACCTATAAGCCCATTATATCACCGTATAATTAAAAATTCAAGGGTTAGAACCATTGACAAAGCTTATAATGCTATTCAGAAGGAGGTCTTTTCGTTCGCCAAGATCATTCGCCAAAATGGCTTTAGAAAGATGAGATTTCGTATTAAAAAAACTTTTGACAGTTTGATAATTGATCGAATCAGTTTTGTTTGAGCGCAAGTAAAAGATGGATACTAGCAAAGAGAAAATACGCTAGTACTTTTTAATAAAGGTGAAAACGCAAGCCAAGCTGCTGAACATGTGAATATTGTTTATGGTTTTGATACTGTAACAATCAATCATAGGGTGGTTTGGTTTTGGTTTCGTCGATTTCGTTCCGGTAATTTCGATGTCAAAAATGCACCACGCACTGAAAAGCCAATTGTCAAAAATGTCGATAAAATCATAGAAATTGTCGAATCCAACTAATGTAAGCACTGTTTCGATTGCCCAAGAGTTAAAAATTGCACAAAAACCGTTTGGAACCATTTCAATAAGACTGAATAACAAAAGAAGCTCGATGTATGGGTGCCACACGAGTCAACCTCAAGGATCAAATTTCCATCTGCGAATCGTGACAAAATCGACCCATTTCTGACTGGTGAATCACTTACAAAAACTCCAAGTGAAAACATTCGTTATTGAATCGCGGTGAGCCAGGAAGATTTTGCTGTGTGTTTGTTGGGATCGGCAGGGAATCATCTACTATGAACTGCCCCACTACGACAAAACTCTTGACTCGGAACTGTACTGTCAACAATTGGACTGTCTGAAGAAAGCAAGCGCCCAGAAAAGTCCAGCTTTGGGAAGTTGGAGAGGAATTACGTTCCATCAGGACACCCATCGATAAAGACTCGCCAAAACCTCCTGGAGCTTGTTTGGAAAGTACTTATGCATCCCCCTTACAGCTCAGAGCTGACACCAAGTGATTACCATCTGCTTATGTCCATAGCTAATGATTTTTTCGACTATAAATTTGCTTTAAGAGGGGCTTGTGAAAATCGACTGTCTCAATTTTTTGCCAGTAGGGAAGAGGACTTCTATGAGAGAGGCATAAGAAAATTAACTTAAAAAAGGCAACAAGTTGTCGAACAAAAAGGCGCATATTTGTCCTAAATTGAATCATTCTAACTGTGGTAAATAAGCCTTCAATTTCATGCAAAACTAATGGATTTGTTTTCACTACACCTGTTATAACGTTTAAATTTTATAATTATAATTGTTTATATTCATATAAACAGTAAAATAAATAATATTAAAAATAAATTAAAAAAAAGCTAACAGTCTTTGTTTATATGCCGCATGATATTTGTTATCTCTTTTAATAATAATTTTTATATAACATTATATTAATATTAAATATATTATTTATTATTTTACATTTAGAAATATTTATAATTAATAAAAATAATTCAAATATATTATTAACTTTATAAATAATTAATAAATATGTACAATTTTTATGAAATATAAATATATATATTAATAAAAACATAAATATATATTTGTATATTTAAAAAATATACTACTTCCCTATTAAAAAATTATAGTTTAATTAATTTACATCAAATTTTTAAAATTTATGATTAAAATCATATTTTTTATTATATACATAATTTTGAAAATATTAAAAAATATAAACAAGTATGTAATTACATTATAAAAACTATTTGAATCTTAAATATATTTTGATCATTTCTCAAAACTAATCTTCGTTATGTTACATACTTTCAAATCTCAGCAACTTAAGACAAAGGTCTCTCCTCTTCAATACAATAAATACGCTTCAACTATAAAATATAATGGGTAAAGGATGGGATTCTATTTTCCACAAAGAGTTAGTAGGATTGTTGACGAGTAGATATTAGTTTTAACAAAATCCTGGGGATGTGCTATATGTAAATTGAGCTTCAAGTTCATGATTATATTTGGGTATGTCAACCACTTTATGTCGCTTATCTCGTAATATGAAGTCATCAACATCACATTCATCAACCATTTCGGAGTCGCCACGTTTGCGTGTTAAGCGTTGAGCTATATTTGTAGTTGTTGGACTGTTTTCTTCCGCTTCATGTGCCTGATACTCCAAATAGATTGGTTCAATACGTTTGCCAGAACTATCAGGAAAATTATAATAAATTTATGGTTTGTAAATCAAAATATTTAAAAAAAAAATCATAAATATATTTTATAAAGATTATATAATTAAGAGTGAGAATTAGTAATTATTTTAGAACAATATTTAAAAGATTTAAAAATGTTTCCAAAAAGTTTTTTTTAATTGTCACAAGATATCTGTTTTGTATATTGTTGTAGTAAACCGTTTTAGGAAAGTTTTCTGGAGACCAGAAAAAAAGTGTCTTCAGGACATAGACTCTATTACCCTTAGGCCACCTATGGTCGTGGACCTCTGTTCCACTAGAAGCCTAAATAACTACTGCCTTCTATTCTACGTCAAACAAATATATATATAACATAAGAATTTACTCTTCAAAATTAATGTATTCCACGTACATAAAAGATTTAGAGTCAAAGGTAAAGCAGCAGTTCTATTAAATATTTTTATTATGCAGCAGCTAACAGTAATATTATTAAGAAATACTGACAATTGCGTTATAAAAAATACTTTTAACTATCTAAATAAATATGTCTAAAAACGAGTATAATTATTGTTTCTACACGGCTTCGTAAAGCCAAGGAGGCCTTTGCCAATGTTAAAAATGTTTGGAAATAATCCAGTATTCATTTTAAAACATAAATCAAAATTTTCAACGCCTGCGTCAAATCTTTTTTACTGTATGGTACGTGACTACAGCTATCACTCATAATTTGAAAACGTTTATAAATAGATGTCTGCGTTAGATGTCAAGAATATGGTAGCCACCAACTATTCATAATGAACGCCTCATGACACGAACTAACCAACAGCAATTGATAAAGATATAATTCAGAGGATGGCTGGAGCATACTCTTCGCAAGCCAAACACCAAAATTGTTCATGCTGCACTCGAGTGGAATCTGCAGGGAAGAAGAAATTGCGGTCGGCCGAGGACAACATGTAGAAGAACCATCAGTAAAGAAAAGCAAATCTCTTGTGATTAGACTAAATTCATAAATGTTATTTCTGAACTATCAGTAATACAAATAATATAATAATTATTGTAAAGTTTAAAATTAAAAACTACAGATTTTAATACTAAGCATACTATACTTATGCTTTAAATATACTACATTTAGACAATCAATACATAAATTTAAACAGTAAAAGTTGAGCTATTAATAGTTTGAGAAGTGTTCCGATCTTCATACCTACATTATTTGTCGAAGGCCATCAAGTACCATTTTTCTTACACCTAAGTATCATTTTATCAAAGCGACCAAGTACTTTAACTATGGCGTCCAAAACCCACTTGTCTATGGCAATTGGGTACCACTTGTCCAAAGAGACTAATAAATATTTATCTAAGAAGACCATTTATCCATTTTCATCTATTTATTAAGTGCCACTTTTCTAATTTTACCAATTATCAATAGTCTAAAAGGACTAAGTACTATTTATTTAAGGCGGTTCAGTAAAACTTTTCTTTTCAGACACCAATTGTCAAACGTAACCAAGTACTACTGATCTTGGGCGACCAAATGCTACTGGCCTTAAGTGACCAAGTACTACTGATCTTAGGCGACAAAATTTTCTTATAACAACTTCTCTAACACGACCAGATAGCGCTCAACACTCCCATTCCGTTTAACACAACAACAACATTTATAATAAATTTATTTTATTATATACATATTTAGAAGGAACTTGTTACAAATATTATATTTGAAAAAAAAAAAAAAAATGAAGTATCTGACTACTTACTTGACCTTTTTTCTTTGTTCGTTTTATAATCATGACTTGTTAAGTAAATAGTGACTAGTAAGAACTTGAACTAATAATGATTAAAGTAAACCAGATATGGCAAGTAGTGCATGATTATTTAATCACAAAGATTATCAAATAGACAATGGTAATTAAATCATATATTTTTCATTTTGAAAATAATGTGAAATATGTAAAGTTACATCTTTATTAAAATCAAATCGTCGTCAAATTAAATATCTATAAGTTATTATATTGTTTATTAAAACTATTTATCATATATTAACAAAATGGTGTAAGCACTCAACTATATTTTGTTTATCGAACTGTCAATAATTAAGATTAAAAAGTATAAACCTTATCTATCTATTAAGAATTTAAAAAATTTATATTTGAGTTTTTCAATCACAAGACAAATATTTGCAATAACACAAAATATAGCTTAAATGCAATCTAGTATTATTGTTAAAGGATGTGGCTGTCCGTTTTATTATGTTATCTAGTAACGACAAACCAATTTTATCTTACACTCAACGAAATAATCCTACAGTATGCTATCTACCTAGTAAACTAAACTACCTTAGTAATTCTCAAACTCAAAATATGTTAAATCTTCATAAATATTTAATATTATGCACATAAGCATATATAATATTAAATTACTATAAGTTAATAATATTATAATATTATGTTAGCTGCAAGTTACTTACTCTTTTAGTAAATATGGATCAAATGGAAAGAATGTATCCAAAGTCTCCTCAGGTGTCTCAGTCTCATTTATATAAACAGTAGCCAATCTGCGTCGAGCATTTCTTTCCAATATCGCATGACAATAGGCTAATTGGTAAGAGCGCGTTACAGCAGCAAAAGCTGTTGCTACAGCAGGCAGACAAACACGTAAAGGATTAAAATTAGATGTAACCAATCCAGAGAGTTGTAATGATTGCAAAAATACAAGATCTAACAAATGAATAAATTTATGTTACTAAAAACGTTTATATACAATACGTTTATGTACAATACAATAAAAAAAATATACCTTTCTTATCTTTGGTTAGAGCACGACTACGAAACGCTATAATATAAAATATAGCCTGACATATAGTGAAGAAGACAATATGAGCTTTAAGTGAACTATTTCTTCTATCACTTCTTTGTATATATTGATGCGCCCAATTACAAAACTCTTTCAAATAAAATTGTATAAGCCTATAAATAAACAGATTTTAATATAAAAAAAGTTATTATATAAGCCTGAACCACTTACGCAATGGGTAAATATTTAGATCTAGCTAGAAAACTGACGATATATCCTACAGATGTTTGCTTTAAGACAGACGGAGTATTTAAATTTTTAACATTATTCCAAAGTGTGGCCAAGAAACATTCTGCAAACGTATTCTGAAAACATATAATAGGACAAAATTGAAAAATATATATAAATACGTAAATATAACATGTTTTCTATTTGTCTAGCTTATTAAAACTTACTTTTAAACTGCAATAAAAAAATATTAGGAACTGCACATGATGTGTATTATGACTGATTAATATCACTGAATTGAATGCATTTAATACGTGTGTAAATAATATTTGGCCTTCTTTACTTATTTGTAACGGTTTGTTACCAAATTCGTAATTTGTGAGACCACATTTCGCTTCAAAGTAGTCAAATAATATTTTCATGCAAATATCCAATGTATGCGCAATGGGATGACTCATTTGATCCGCGTCAGGTTTTTCTGAAAAAATGCATTCGTAATTACACTCATGAAATTCAACACTTATTTCTATAAATATAGCATGTATGCATAATAGATTCGAAGTTGGTCTGGTAATGCTTGCAACTTTTCAATACTCTAGCATTGCGGAAGTATGTACCGGGTACTCTTATGTGGGTACCGGGACATAAAGGGCACGATGGCAATGAAAAAGCGCACTCACTAGCAAATAAGGGTGCATGTACACCTTTCATTGGTTCAGAGCCCTTCTGCGATGTAAAAAATAACTTCACAAATAACTTATTATGTGAAAGGGAGAAACAAAGTCTCTTTGAACTTTGGAGAGGTCAAACAGGCATGCGGCAGTCAAAAATATTCATTGATTCTGAACACATTCAAGTTGACTCAATTACCACATGAAGAATATAGGTGCGGTAGAAATTTATCCCTGTCGACTCTGTCATGAGTAGAACACATTAGAACATATTCTAAGCAACTGCCCATTGGCGGCAAGACGTGGACTTGACTACCTTGGAAGCTGAATCTTAGTCCCAAATTAAATAGGTAAAATTAAGCGCACAGTATTTACGAAATTTATAAATAGTCTAGAATTGTTAAATATATCTTTTAGGTATCCACTTAAGATTTGATGGCCCATTGGGATTTTGCATGAAAGTGAATTGGTTTCAAGCAGTCTTTACCAAGCTTTAAGATGTTCTTTGAGGAAAGATACTATTAAGACAACAGATTCTTTTCATACGAATCTATTCATTATTTGCATATGATATAATACCCAATTATTCAAAAATTTGGTTAAATTTGTCCCAGAAAATTAAAAAAACCAGCAATAAATTCGAGTATTAAGATGTGGTCCGGCCACTCGTCACCAGCGACGAGCAAGTGCCGTTCAACACCTTTCAAAGGGAGTTCACAAGCAGGTCCCAGCGGGTTATAACAAGAGTATCGAGATGTGTAAATTTTTTTATCGTTATATTTGTTTACTTGCTACGACAAAAATAAAAACATTGCTAAACACAAATAATTAAAGTTTTCAGATACATGAAACCGATTTTCATTTAATAAAAAATTAAAAATATTTCTACAGAAAAGCTTACATAAGATCGGTGGTACTATAACCATAGATTATTAATTTAAAGACCTACTACTATGTTTTATTGATTTATTTGTGAGCTAACACTAAAATTAATTTTAAAGTTTGGGATATATAACCAACATGCCCCAAAAGTGGACATATTCTAATCATGAGCCATTTCATAAACTGCTATAACAACCAATCCCATGACACCAGTCTTTTCAACGCAAACAAGAATAAAGCTACACCTACTCAAAGACACAGGACGAAAGACCTAGCAGTCCAGTTCCTTATTCTTAGATAACTTTAAAATTAATTTTAATGTCAACTCACAAATAAATAAATTTTAAAGGTAACTAAGAGTAAGTAATTAGACTACTAGGTTCTTCGTTCTATACTTTGTATTAATAACACGGTTAAGAAGCAGTTTAGCAGTAATAGTTATTTAAAGACTTTGTTCACACTAACTAAATGCGAAACACGTACATTTACTATAACTGACTTTATCTTGGGTGAATCGTCTGTAAAAACAAATATTTTTGTCGCCAGAGCGAATACAAGCTCGTGGACAATACAACTAGTGGACGATAATAGAATGCTCTGTATATATTCAGCGAAGTTTCTTTATCCTTACTACTATAGTTTTCAGAACATTGTTGCAATTTTCAACAGAATACATACTACAAAACCATGTGTGAAATATGTTATCATACTATCTAGAACCACACACTATAAAAGTCTATGGACAATCAAAAAAATCTCTTTAGTTCCAAAGTAATTAACTGAGAACTTAGAGGAAATTAGTGAAGATTTGTATTTACTATATAATAAATGCATTAGTATATATCGAAAAAACTTAACAAATATTTGATTCAATACCTGATTTAATTTCATCCATATCAAAAATTTCTTCATCTTCATCCATATCTACACAATCAGTATCTTCGATTTCAGCACGTGGAGCGTTAACATCTAATGTAATTAATCTGGAACACAAAATGAAAATTATTCAAGTTTACGATGAAAACCAAATTAGCTTACTTATGTAGCAATACCACCAAAACACAATCTATCATAGCCGGTTGGTACGATAATAACCAAAGTGTGTTATAAACAAAACCCGCTACAACATATGCAGGCTTTTTGTAATATGGAAATAACTTATCGACGGCATCCAAAATAGTGTCTACAACCATTGGTATCAAATCAATTAAACGTTCAATCAAGCAGTGTACAGGTTTCAGTTTTAATTTAATGTCTTCATTCGGAACACCTTTAGGCCACTCATATTCATCAATATCAGTTGGTATCCAAAGTGATACAAGGGTTTCAATTCCACAAACAATATATTTACTATGTGCAATCATTAAATCGATGAAAAATGAAGTGTATATACTAATTGCTTCCGGCGAACGTTTATTCCATGACACTTTAAGTAGTGCCTCGACAAGACTCGAAAACTTTGGGCTTAATATATGTACTATGCTGCGGGCTTCGCTGAAAATCCTTATGAAATTTGCATTCTACAATAATAAATCAAAATTCGCATTAGTTAACTGACTGCTTAAATAATAAATGGCATGCTTACATCAATGTCAGACTTCTGTAGATATTCAATGAAATCATTCATGGGCTGGTTATAATTTCTTTCGGACACTGCAGAGACTGCCTCCGACAGGCTTTTCGTCTTCTGCGCATTGAATCGCACATTGTTAATAATAGAATTTTTCACTTGATCTCGTTCAGATGTGGAATATGACTTTAATATTGAAGATATGCCCGTTTTTGCACTGTAGACCGACATTGTTGCATATGTTTTTGAGCTATTTTTAAAATTACTGCAAATGAAAATAGCTCAAGAATTTGTGAGCCGATTATATCTTCGACGTGTTGCGAGGTATGCACTCTTAGACACCTTATGTACTTTTATTTATATAACTTTTTTTTATACCCTACTACTAATTTTGATATTATTATTAAACGTTTCTTTAAAAATCATTGGTAATAAAAAATATACTGCAGACGTAGTCAGACACATAGCACGTTGTGATATGCAAATTATATACATAAAATCACATTTGTTAGATTGACAACAAAAGGGGACTGCCATATCGTTTATTTCAGCGATTGTGAAATTCAATTTCATAAGATTGTTTTTCATCATGTAACTTACACTTGACGTTGCATGGATGCCGTACTTCATCTATTTTCATATTTTAAATTGCTTTCTAATCTTGTGAAAATGATTTGTCGGCCGTGTACGAGTTGGAGTTAATTTATGGTAAATTGAGGGAAATAGTAAATTATGTCCGTATGGCAACTACTGTTGTTATTTAACAGAATTTCGAGTAGGGTAAATTAGATAAAAATAAGGCTAATTGGGTGTTGCTATTATGAAAATTTTATAAAATGTTTAATAAATAAATATGAAAACTTTTAACCAAAAATAATAAACAAGTGCAATTAATAAATAAATAAGTATTTACATAAGTGCAGTGCAAAAAATCCTAGTAAATTTTAATTTACTTTATTTCAATTTACTCGTATTCGCGCACGGTCGTAATCGATTTAAAAAGCTCAAAACAGAGTAATGTTTCAAGTGGATATTACACATCATACTTGTTGCAAGTTTGTGCGCAAAAATGTGGAATTTAGCGCACCAAATTTCCAGATATCATGCAAACTGATGAAAACCAAAGTATTTTGATTTAAATTCCTGCTCGTTTATTATCGTTTCAGATTGGTTTTTTGTAAATATTCATACAAATTTTACTTTTAAAAACGTCAAAGCGTAACACGCTTGTTAAAAATATTCTATGCATTGCAAAAAAAAAAAATAAAATAAAAGCAAAAATTATTGCTTTATAAATCACATTAAAAAACTATTTAGGGTTATACCTAAAAAGTTATTTTTCCATTAATTCCACCTTAAATTAAATTAATTTATTTTCTTACTAATTGATGATACCAAAATAAAAATGTAAATTAAAACATGCAATATAATAATATACTTAATCATTTTCCCTAATATTATTTCATTTTTATTAGTAAAAATATGTATAACAAAAAAATGTGAAAATATGTATAACAATAAAATAAATATATATATATATAAAAATATATTACCAACTTTTAGGTATCCTTGCTGAGATATGTATACAATATATGAAAAATGAGTTTCTACAATAAAAACAAATAAATTTTTTAAATCAACTATATGAAGAAGTCTATTTTTAAATCTGTAATTATAAAATACGTACATATTTTAACAATTCGTAATACTGTGTTCAGAAATCCAAATATCCTTAATTGCGTTTAAATGAAAAAGTTTATTATTTTTAATTAGTTGAATTTTTAACTGAACGTACACCTGTTCCAAGTATTACCAAATACCCATTATTAGTAGTCTTTTGAAAAAATTTTTTATATATAATTATTCGTAAATAATTTGTTGATGCTCTAGGTATCAAGTATTTATATTTATGTTACTGTTAATGAGTAAATATAATTTTAACGTTTTTACGTAAGTTATTGTTACGCTATTCATAAACTATTTCTAATTTTTTATAATTTCACATCTTATTTTTTAAGTTAGCTTTAAGCCACTGCAATAAAAGGGTTGTCTCTTAATGCATTTAATATTAAATATGAAAGGTTGAACTCATACTCTGCCAAATTTTGTTTTGAATTAATGTGCTAATATGAAAAAAATTATATGTAAATTAAGTGTCTCTATGGCAACACATATTTATTTCTGTCAGTTGGCAGCATTATAAAGAAATAACGAATTTTCAGCTGTTGTATACAAGCGGGAACGCACGTGCCGTATGGTTGTTAGAAATTTGATTTGCTGGCAATGAAATTGTTTTAAAAATAATTAGAAATGGCATTGTTTGTTATTGACACAATTGGTGATAATAATTTAGTGAATTATGACACAAAAAGATATGATAACCTACTTCCAAGTGCGCCAGTTGCTAAAAGAAATAAAAGTAAACAAAAAAGTTTACCAGCAACAACAACGCTTGCGTCTGCTAAAGATGTGTCTTCAAGTGATAGTTCGACCGATGATGAGGATTATTTTGGTAAGCAAATTGAACTACGAGTATAACAAATAAAGCATATATACATTTTTATAGGCCTACCACCACCCAATGTTGATGTATCTGATATTATAAGTGATACACTCGCAAAAACTGAATATCGTGACACCACATCTAAGCGTGATTTAAAGGATGTTGGCGCGTTAGTTGAAGCGGCAATTGAAAACGCAAAAAGTAAAAAGGAAACGAAACGTCGTCGCATTGTAGATTTGGACCATTCAAGTTTTAATCCATACACTGGCAAATTCGATGATTTGCCGTACATGGATACAAACGTTAAGAAAGAGCTTGCCAAATCAGAGGTAGTGAATGGTTTGGAGACATTAAAAGAACTTCCAAGATTGAATAAAAAGAAACAACGTGATCTTAATAGAGTGAGTTGTTAAATTTTCAAACTTTTATGTACGCATAATCATTAACACTGTATATTAGTATGATGAAATATTCGACATCACAAGCTTATTTATGAAAAATAAGCATTTAGCAATTGCTTAACATTGCCTGAGAAAATTTTACCGAAGACTCAATTCTTATATAGATTGGAACATAGTTTTGACTCCGTTGTAATCTTGGCTATTGCTTTACAGCTTCAGCAATTGCCGTAAGGCCAGCGGTAGATCATTAGTTTAGGCATTTTTACTGGACTACCACACTGTGCAAGTTCAACATTGTGATTTAAAAAAAATGCTACAATTTATTGTTTTAATTTTTTTTATTTCTGATTTTTATCTCCAATCACAAGAATTTGCGTAGAGTTTTTGAGATGTTTTGCAATTCATTTTGATGACATCTTTAGTAATCTGATAATTACAGTATCTATGCTACAATGCAACTATCTAATAAAATAAGTGAATATTTTGTAATAAAATATAAATTTAAATTTTTACAGATTGAACGTTCGAAGACTAAGGGAAATGGCTGGTATAACTTACCGGCTACTGAAATGACTGAAGAAGTTGAAAATGATCTGAAAGTATTACAAATGCGTTCAGTGTTGGATCCTAAACGATTTTACAAGAAGAACGACTTAAAAGTTTTACCTAAATACTTTCAGGTACAGAAAATGTTTTAATTCCTTTTTTTGATATCTATGTTATATATTTAACTTTATTTCAGATCGGTACTGTGCAACATTCGCCTTTAGATTATTACAGTGAGCGGAATACACGTAAAAATAAAAAGAAGTCTTTAGTGGATGAATTACTGGCTGATGAACAATTTCAAACCTTTACGAAACGAAAGTACAACGAAAATATTGAACGTAAAAATAAATATAAAAACCGTAAGGCTTTAAAAAAAATGAAGAAACTTAAAAAACGCAAATAATATATTTATTGTTATTTAATTTGCAATACAGCTTTATCTTTTTTTTTAATAAATTATACTAGTTAATTCAAAATAATTTACTACTATCAGATTTTTTTATTCAGTATTTTTAAGTAAATTATGTCAGTATATGCTATTTCGTTGGTTTAAGGCAAGTGTTAATTTTTTATATCCGAAAATAGCATATTTACTTACGACTAATGTAATTGCAATAAAGCAACTGTTTTTATTAACAGAAGCTGTTTGATGTGTTCTTTAAGATACTGAAATAGGTAGACATTAGGTCTGTTCCACGAGCTACTCATAGTAAAACATGAGTAAAACAGAAGTAAAATTTACACAAAAATACTTGAAAATTTGCTGGTGGAACGCGCTTGTGTATACACAGTGTTTACTCAAAGTTACTATGAGTAGCTCGTGGAACAGACTTATTATATCAACAGATTGGGTACGGAAGTTTGTTAAAATATAAAATAACCTGTAATCAGTAATGTTATTAATTTCTAACAAAGAGAAACAAGCTAATATGATACAGTACACTATTTAACTCGTAATGATGACTAAAAAGGTTATCCAACAGGCTTTACGGTAGGTGGTAATTCAAAAATTTCGGAGACATTGTTTCACGTTAAATATTTGAAAGATTAGGTATTCATAGATGACTTCTTATATAACAAATATTGTATTTAACGGAAATTTTCATATATTGCTACATACTGTATGCTTTTCCTGATTCAGATTATGATGCTCCACAAGTTCTCCGAATGTCCAAAAGAATACCAAAAGATTTTTACTTTCACTTATAATGTAATAAATTACAATTTTTATAATAATAAGATCAGGAGTACATAATAAGTTTTACCATCAAATTTTGTTGTTCTCATTAAGTAACTTAAAAAAATGCATATGGAAACGGCTAAATTAGGAAAAAATGTTGATGCAATTTTTTGTGTATTTAATAAGAATTGAAGAAACAATGAAGATTGTGCCTACACGTCGCGGTGTTCGGATTATTGAATATCCGAGGAGTATATTATATGAAGAAGTAATAGGTGACTTCATATTTAAGGTAAACAATTTTTGGATTGGTTGACTTGATCTAAACTCAATTTCTCTTTAAAATATTTTATCGAGTTTAATATTTCCATAGGTCAATCTGCTACTAAATGGACTATCTATTTTTATTCGGTTTGTGGAAAGTATCAAAACTTGCAGTGTAGAACTTGACCCCATTAAAATAATTATAAATTATGTTCAAAGTTTATAATTTTATTACTTGAAAGGGAGCTTTGATTATTGAGAGTAACTCAAATTATGTGTATGTTGAACTTTCTTAAAGTTTTTGTAAAATTTAAATGATCAGAATAAATTGAACTCTACATTGAACCGGTCGTTGTTTCTTTTTTTTTGTTGGTTGGTTCCTCTCTTATATTTTTTCTATATACTCGTGGAAAAAAAACAAACCGCTTGTGAAATTACAATAATAATTATAGAACTAATAAATTTATATTCGTTGAAAATCACAAAAACACTTGTGAATTTACAACCATTTCTTAATTGAAAAGTTTTAGCCATTAAACCGTTAAGGATAAATGCTCAAAGTCCATTCTAGTAATAAAGAGAAAGACAGACTTGAAAATACAGAACGCTTAGCATATAGGAACAAAATATATACTATAAGTAAAAATTGAATACAAGAGAGGGAAAGAAAGAAAATTGTTTTAGTTAGGTAATAATTAGCGACTAAGAGTAAACTCTGTATCATTGTAACTATTGTAGAACGGTATATTAGGATAGACGTGAATGATGTCATCCAGATAAAAGGCTAGGAATTGGCAAGCGTTGAGATCCCGAGGAATTTGCTTGAGGAATTAAGGAATTAAGCGGGTGAGATCCCGGATGATGTAGAATATGAATATGCAAATAGTGGTCGTATTAGTTACTTATAACAAAGCAATTCTGTTTGCACGTTTAGCAAATTGCCACTGATTGTAATGACACTAGAGTAAGAGTGGCACTCCAAAGACGTTGCTAACGTGCGCTATGAAATTATGTTCTGGAGTGAAGATAATTTGAACACAAGTTCAAAGCATTAGCTATTGGTTTGTCCTAGTTTTTATTCACTCGAATAGTAAAATTCAGAGGTTCTGGACGCTTTGTCCGCAAAACTTGGGTCATCAATATGGACCTGGCTGCTCTTCTAAGCAGTACCACGGCACTCTCATTGAACTTAGCGGCCAACGGTATTATCATACTGCAAATTATGCAGACAATCTATTCAATAAATATCTATATTAACCAATTAATAAGATTATTCCAATCAAAATGAGTTCTGCCACATCTACATATTTTGGTTTGTTTGCATAAAACAGCTGACTTGTATTTATAAACGAATGTTAACGCATTCGCTGTGCATAAAAGTATCGCAATTAAAAAATTATATATAAAATGTTAAGAACTTACAGAAGTCTGTTTGATATATGCAGGGTATTATAAAACTGATTACCTTAAAATTTTAAATAATATAAAACATTTACAGCGGACACTTGCAACTAAAGTTACACCACATCAAGAGGCGCTTATGGCACGCGGTTTACCAAAACGAGCTCCTTTGCCAAATGTGGAAGACATCGTTGTAGTGGCTTCCGGCAAGGGAGGTGTTGGAAAATCTACTGTAGCAGGTGCTATATAAGGTTTAAATTGCTTTGCTATTTATTATAACATCAAATTAATTATGTTCTATTCTTCGAAATATAGTAAATTTAGCTGTCAGCTTAGCCAGTTTGGGAAAGCGTGTTGGTTTGCTTGATGCAGACATATTTGGTCCATCGGTACCACTTATGATGAATATAAGCGAAGAGCCTACAGTTAATGAACAAAATTTAATGGTACCGCCTGTTAATTATGGAGTAAAATGTCTATCAATGGGTTTATTAGCTCAACAAGGTGGTGCTATCATTTGGCGTGGTCCTCTTGTAGTGTCAGCATTACAACGTTTATTAAAAGGTGCTGTTTGGGGACCGCTCGACATACTAATTGTTGACACACCACCTGGTACAGGTGATATACATTTGTCATTGACACAAAATGTACCTATTACGGGTGTGCTACTTGTGAGCACACCACAAAAAGCTGCACTAGAAGTTACATTACGTGGTGCTGATATGTATCGTACATTGCGTGCACCTATTTTAGGTCTTGTCGAAAATATGGGTTATGCCATATGTGGCAAGTGTCAAAATCGTATGCAAATATTTAACAGTTCAATGGAAAGCTTTTTATCAAAATTACAAACGCGTGTATTGGTTTCGATACCTTTAGATGGAAATATAATGGAAGCTAGTGATGCTGGTGTTCCATTAGTACTTAAAGAACCCAATTCTGAATACGCAAAGCAGTTTCGTAGTTTGGCAGAAAGCATTGTGTCGCAGCTACAAAAGAATGCATCTAATGTGCAAAAGTGATTTATATATATAATTTTAAATAGATCCTTTTTATTCTTAATTCAAAATATATTTATTTAAATATTATTATTAACAAAAGAAACAAAATAAATTATATTTAAAAAAATGTGTGTCTTTATATTTTGGAAAGTGGAAATGAAATGAAATTTAAATATGATATCTTTTTAAATTCTATCAAATGTAATCATCGAACCTTTGAATAAATGTTATATCATATCATATGACTTGATTACAGAAGATGATTCCTCAGTTCAAATAACAATAACATATTAGAAGGAAGTGGTTAAATGGGAACACCTATTTTGAATAATAACCGATATAAAATATAATTTGATTTTAAGCTTAATATTGAGTCCGCTATAGATTCTTTCATTTGATCCTAATATATACTTGTATTCATTTGAGTCGGAAATTGTAATGGTTTTAAGTTAATTTTTTTTCGGTAGATGAAAAGCATTGAAGGCGTTGTCAGAAACACAGTTCAGATACTAGATTTGTTAACATTCATTTCCTGAAACCTCATTACAGTGTTTATGGTAAAGAATAGTTTAGAAATATCATTTCTTAACATTATAAGAAATTTATGTATGCCAAAATTATGGCATACATATGATGAGAGTTTAGTGAAATTGTTAACGAAATCTAATTACAAAAATCTTAATTTATAATTAAACTGTTTGCATCGAATTACAGGAGAGGAATATCATCTAAATAAAGGGCCAAGTGTTGAGAAGGTATGTATTTTATATTCCTAAGCAAATCCAAATTAAAATGCATTAAGTGTTTCATGAGAAAGATTATGTCTACAATATCTTTGAGTTAAAAGTAATAAAAACGTGCAATCTTAGATTAATTCCAGACGGTGAAGTAGTAATAATATCTACTGTTGGTTTTGCGGTGGTTTTTATTTAATAAAACAGTTTGGTTTGGTGTTAAGTAGATTGTGTCCTCAAAGAGTATCTTTAAAAGTTGATTTTTTGGACTTTTATATTAGTATTAAGGAACAAATTCACATTTTCTAAAACAATTTTTTTTCGACCGAGTAAACAAATAACAGTTTAAGTGTTTACAGTAGCTAGATTTTTATATTTGAATGCAAATTGGAACATTTGAATTTTTTCTGCTAAGAAAAATTCGTAAGGGTAGTGAAAAAATGAGGGTTAGTGTGCAAAAGTTTCACGAAAAGAACACAGAATCTTATTAGCATATTTTTGCTCGGATATCATATGAAAAAAGACATTTATTGGTCACTATTTGTAGAGTTAATTTCTATAGTAAAATATTAACAATTAAATTATATTATTTATATATAATTATTATTATTTTTACATACCATCATTACATAAACGAGCTATTTGTATACATATTTTGTAAATTTTCTTACCACTGAACACACCTTTTTCGAAATGTCATTGAATTTCGAATTTCGAACAATTTCTTTGAAGCTTACAACACTGAACGCAACCATCTTTCTTTTTTCCCAACTACACGACCGCGTGGACGTAGCTTTTAACAAAAGGTTAGCGATTTAACATTAAAATTAGTGATTTTCGTTAAAATTGTTATAAAAAATTATTGTACTAGTGCGGTGTAAATAAAACTTAGTTAATTATATCTAAATGAATACTAAAAATATGTGTTTTGTTGCATTTTGCAGGGAACCAACACAAACAAAATGACAAACTCAAAAGGTTATCGCCGCGGCACCAGAGACATGTTCTCTCGCCCATTCCGTAAACATGGTGTTATTCCATTGTCCACATACATGCGTGTGTTCAAAACTGGTGATATTGTTGATATTAAGGGACACGGTGCTGTACAAAAGGGTATGCCATACAAAGCCTACCACGGCAAGACTGGTCGCGTTTTCAACGTTACCCCACATGCTGTCGGTGTCATTGTAAACAAACGTGTCCGCGGCAAAGTTCTACCAAAACGTATCAATGTACGCATTGAACACGTACATCACTCCAAATGCCGTGAAGATTTCTTGCGTCGTGTTAAGGAAAATGAACGCCTATTGAAAGAAGCCAAGGCTAAGAATGTTTACGTTAACCTCAAACGTCAACCTGCACCACCAAGGAAGGCTCACTTCGTTAAGAAATTGGAAGAACCAATTCAATTGGCACCAATTCCTTATGAATTCATCGCTTAAATTGATAGTGTTAAAATGTTTATGTTTCTTATGAGAAGAAGAAATTAAAGAGAATTTGTTTTTTACAAAAACAAAATTGCTTTGAATTCAATTATAAATAATTTTTTTAATTTGTACATAGCAAAAATGGATAAAAAATGTGTTAAAATACTTCAAATATGATTTTATTGGTGGACTTTGTGTGTATTTAAATATTTCGAATTGCGTAAAAAGCATTCAGCAATAGCTATTGACAAATTATGGACTAGGTACTGTGTTGAACTAAGCTACTTTGAAAAGTTTTCGCATTGAGGTTTTGCACTTTTAAGTCAATATTTCTTAATATAAATATTTTTTTCTTATATTGCATGTGCGGAGTGAAGTGTGCATACCAAAATATAGGTGTTGATCCTTTATGTATAGTGCATTTGGAGAAATCATTTGGGATACATTTAGTTAATAGAGTGTAAAAAATGAATAACAGTAGTCACCGGCTGGATTAAATTCTGATGAAGGATTGATATATATATATATATTACCTATGTGTATTTCGTAGTGCGGATATCAAAGTTTCTATTGTAATACTGCATCGCTGTATATAGTTTGAGATCTGTATAGAATCAGAAAACAGTTATTTGAATTGTGATGAAGAAACTTGACCTCTTCTGTTTTGGACTACTATTAAGACTTGTCTATATAAAACAACAACAAAACCAGAGAGGATTTTTATAGACTGTTATTATCAAATCACTTGTTGTTTTTAAAGGGGTCTTAATCTAAGTTTATAAAGGATGTAATTAGGAAATGTGCGGTTCACTAAAATTGATTAATATTTTCATGTAGTTGGCTGTAATGTCATATTTAGTTTGATTCTATTAAAAAAAGTGTAGAGTCTATATGTTATTTTTGCAGTTCAAATTGTAGCTTCAAATATCAATTTGAGTATATAGCAATTTTCCAATTAAAGATGCAAAATGCAATAATAAGAAGTAAAAAAATTGATTAACAGTCGTTAAAAATGTATCGCTTTATAGTACAAATTTATATTTATATTATAATAATTGATATGTACAGAAAGCAATTAACGCTGTAAACTTTGTTAAACGTGTATGAAGTTTGTTCTTTTAAACGATTAGTTTTATTTAGCGGAAAAAATTATTATTTAAATTGAAGAATATTGATAAAAGCACGCTGGTTAATATAAAGAACAACTTAATTGCCTATATAGTAATTAGTTTTTGAATGCTTTTTTATATGATAAAGGTGTTAGATTTATAATTGTATAAATATTGTATTTGTTTGAATTTGTAGGAGTTCTTGTTAAACATGTGAAGGATTTCGGATGATCCTATTTATAAATATTTTAATCCAAATATAAAAATGTAAGGATTCAGACATATATGGATATGGACTCATGTAATATTTAAACATTCTTCCATACATATAACGTACAAGATACACATGTACGTATGTATATATGTAAATAAGTTTAAATTACAAGTCGTTATGATTTCGTTCATTTGTAACCAATACAGGGATGACATATAATTCTAGAAAAACTAACAAGGTTTTATAGATGTATACATACGTTTATATGTATACACTTGCATATTTATCATGTTAAGTATATAAACCCATACTTTTATAATTGCAATTTCTTAATACATATATTTGTTACTTCCTGATTTTTTTGAAAAAAAAAATTTAATTATTAAAATTTTCAAGAATATTGAAATACATATTACTTGAAAATGAAGTCCGTCTATGCGAATGGAATGCTGGTGCGCAAATTTAATATTTGATAACAAACTTCATAAGTATTTTTGATTTACATTATGTGTTTCGATTCTCTTAATGCATATTAATAAAAATTGTTAGATTGTTGATGTTGTAGCCCCAATTGTTTCCTCTTTCCTGAGAAAGTTTGTTAGCTTTTATTTCTTTGCGAATGATAAAATACAAACAAGTTATAAATGGGTTAGTGACTAGCGGCTGTAGGATCTTGATATAGCTGTTACATGCAGCACGAGGATCAATATATAGGATTAAAAGTTTTTATCCGTTAAATAGTACGTTTACTCTATCGCAATTTACTCAATGTGCAACAATATAAAATCTATTCGAATATGTGCCAATAAAATTCAATTATTTAAAGTGTAATTAACAAATATCATCGTCCTCAAAGCGAATAAATTAGACCTAGCAAGGAATAGTAGATATTAGGCTTATAAATAGTGCAGACATCAATAAAATGCGGTTTAAAAGTGAAGATCTAGATGCAGATCGAAGACCAAAAGAGCATAGATTGAAATGTAAACATAATAGAGACACTCCTCTAAGTAATGTAAAAGCGGTTTCGGTAGAGAATAAGGCTCTCCGCGTAGGGAGTGTTTTAGTTCGCATTCTATATATTAATTTATTAGGGAGTCGCCACACTATTCCTACAACGGTTGGTCTGACGGTGCATAAAGTATTTCTACTCCTCACCACAAAAAATAAAAAAATTACTATCATTGCTCTAAAAATATTCCTTTTAATTTTAAAATTTGATAGATTTCAATGGAAAAGGTTCCATCTTTAAACAATATATTGAGGAATAAGAATATCGCTTAGTGGAACAAGTTGCTCAAAACAGCTAACTCTACTAAGTTCGGTTGTCAAATCACAGTATCGGGAAACCGATTTAGCGTTCTTTTTTGTTGGTTTTCCAAGTTTGGGGTTTATGTTTAATGCAGAACTTATCATGTTAGCATGTTATGATGCCTTAAGTGATACCAAGGAAAATATATTCCTGTATTATACTTATCACACACACACATACACACACATACCATTAAATAAAATATTTAAGCATGAAAATATTTTAAATAACAATCATTTGTACAGCATTAAAAATTATTGAATAAAATTATTATATAAATGTTGAATGTAAATACTTAACAAGATTTAATAAATCTGCATTTTTAACCTATATCGTTTATACTATTATACTATACTATCATTGGATATTAATTTTTACTTTTCTTTTGTTTGGCTTATTTCGTGTGGTTAAATAAATTTTAAAGTCCTTATAAATAATATATGAGTGGAAACAATGCTTCATTATAAAAAAATATCTCGTGAGGATACTATAACTTTTATTAAAATTTTTTAAGAAAATTAAGATTCTAGAGATTCGAATAATTTTCAAATAAGAAATTGAGAAGTCAAAAATAAGAGCAATACCATCGTACCTTTTCTCAGTAAATCAGATTAAGGTCGTGTGCGAGTTAGGCTAAGTTGATGCTAAACCAAATGGGAGATTTTTTGGGATTTTTTGCACTGCACACATTTAGCCATTTATCAACACGTATCGACACATCAATACATTATCGACACAACTTAGAATTTTCCTCATTTAGAACGCAACTTAGCCTAACTCGCACACGACCATAGCAACCAGATTTATATTTACAGTTCCAGTCAGTATAGCTTCGACGGAAAGAATCTTCTCAAATTTAAAATTAATTAACACGTACTAGAAATGTATTATGATCCAAGAGAGACTATCTCCATTGGAAATTCTATTAACTGATGCAAAAATAGCAGCTGGCGCAAATTATGATATAATTTAAAACAAAATTGAGTGAGGCTAAAAGTAGGAAAACTCATTTATTTTAATTTGTGTTTATTTTAATTTGATTAGCAATAAAACTTTCAATCATGCTTTGTCATATTAGTCAATGTAACTCATTTACTTTTACAACTGGGTTATAAAGGGGGGCTCGCAGTTGTAATGTCGCCGACGTTCAGAGTTGGTCTAGCTCCGCCACTGAGCTTAAACATCTATTTTGGTTTCTTACAATATTTAACAAATAAAGACTATAATTAAATTTCTAATGTTCTGCATTATATTAACACCAACTGTCAAACTGCCTTTTCATTTTATTATATCTTAGGGCCATGCCACGCAAGCGATCAAATGATTGCCGATTACTACAATCGAATTATTTTTGATTTTAATAATTGAACTTACATTGAAAGCAACAACATGACCTTAACACAAATTTTTCAAATTTTTTCAAAATTTGAGTAAGTTTTGTACAGTAAAACATGCCAGTTCATTGTCATAAAGTTTATTACTTTATAATAGATCTATTTCACGAGCTATTTGTAGTAAAACTCAAGTAAGACACAAGTAAAGTACAAACTGAGAGCGTAACACAAATAAAGTGTCAAATTACGCTCTTTACACAGATTTTCATGAAACAGCTTTATGTAAAGTCTGGTGAGAGCTCCAGTGCAGTGCAAATATATAATACAAAATATAATATATAATTTTACTTCAAACAAAATGTACGAGTGTGGCTTTTTCAAATTTCGACAGGGATGTTGCGCTCTCTCAGATGCTCTCATTTACTCGAAAATTTACTGGTGGTACGCGTGTATATATAATGCTACTCAAAGTTGTTACGAGTAGCCCGTGGAACAGACCTAATTTTTCGCGTACTTAAACGAAAAAATAATTAAATTAAAGTAACTTTCAATTTCAAGTATAAATTTGTAGCAATTTTCGGTAGCAATTTGAAGGGTAAAAAAATCAAGATTTCGTAATTGCGGTGTGTATCAAATAAAAGTGATATATTTATAATAACTAAATGTATATTATCAATATAGCATTTAAGTTTTTAAAGTTAAAATAAAAAGTAAAATAAATATGTAAATTTCCGAAATGTTTCATTACAAATAAATGCGTTATGCAGCAATATATATTTCAATGCAGAAATTTTGACAGTTTACAATAACCCAAATTTGAAAAGCTGGTAACACCCGCGCAGACTACGTGACACTTTACCCGTATGACTCTAATCAAATTTGACATTTGGATTAAAAATCTGATGAAATAGAGCTCGACGAATATATTTCGTTGTTTTGTTTTGTATTAGTTTAAAAAAGGTGTTAAAAAAAAATATGGATCAATTTAAAGGTTTGCAGAAAGTACTTCTTATATGGAGTCAAGCAGATAATTTGGAAAGCACAGTTGAAGAAATCAAAACAGCCACTGGCGGTGAAGTTGTTTTGGAAAATGTTAATCGCTTGTCCATTGGTAAGTATAATAAGCTTTTAAGCATGACTAATCAGTTTTGTGTTAGAATTGTTTAATAATACAACTTGAACTTCTTTATAGCTTCATATGCTAACGCCACATTCGATTTAATTGTTGTGGAAATGGCGCAACTTACAGATGCGTTTGGGAAATTATTGCAGTTACTTAAACCAAACGGCAAACTTCATTTACTTTCTTTTGGAGGTAGTGCGGACAGTTTACTACAAGAAGTTAAATTGTGTGGTTTCATTAAAGCAGTTGTAAAAAATTCATCAATAACTTGTCAAAAGCCAAATTATGAAACTGGCTCTGCTGTTAAGCTATCATTTGCCAAGAATTCTGCTAAGATAACAGAAGTTTGGAAAATCGATGGAGATGACATCGATGAGGAACTAATTGATGAGGATGAACTATTGGATGAAGATGACTTTAAAAAGCCAGATCCGGAATCTTTACGTGGTTTGTATTTTTATTTGAATTTATTAATTATAAAATTTTTGCGAGGGAGTAATTGTTTTAACGTTATACGTTAAGCAATTGTTAAGCAATGAAGAAACAAACAATTGGTATGCATTATCGTAAATAACTTTAAAAATACGGCAAAAAATACGTTTGTGAAATTTAGAGTTAGAACTGATAATTCTTGTTATATTGAATAGTCAAACTAAAAATAAGAAAAATGTGAAAAAATTTGGTTCATGTATAAATAAGAATATTTTATAAACGCTGAGCTAATAAGGCATGGTGGCAAAGGATTATACAAACGGCTATATAAACTCTATTTCAAATATGCAGAATAGAAAAATTGCCAAATGACTAGTATAACAGTCCTTATATATAAAAATCTAATTTCTACTAAATATCGGTTAGTAGATTATCGAAGCAGGCAACAAAACTGGATCGTTTAGAACATATTAAATATTACGCTAATTTAAGAACTGCTCATGCTAGCTTTTTATTAACTTAAAGCAGGAATTAAAGTTATAAAAATAAATACATATAATTCTCCTCAAAAAAAAGTATCATGATTCTGAAAGAGATCGAAAATGAAGCAATCTTAATATGCAAATTCATACAGTACCGAGCTGATACAATCTTCTATAAGTCAACATAAATATAAGCATATGTGTATGACAACGCCATCGTTATAGACAATAAGGAACGTTTTCAAGACATTTTCAGGAGTCTAGAAAAAACCACACAAAAGCGTGGGCTTCTAAATAAATGAAGAAAAATGAAATATGTAACGTGAAGCTATATAAAAAAGAAAAACTTGTCCTTTGAAGTAAGAAAACTCGTAGTGCTTATCATAAACAAGGATCTATTCAGTGAAGTAAAACAAAGTATATACGCAGCCCATATATACTGTTTATTCACAACTCATAAAATCCAGACTAATAATCAGTAAAATAAGAAACGACTGAACGAAATGATTATAAGGCCGGTTGTCACAAGTTGATTGAAACTTTTTCTACTGAAAGTCTTATAAACGCAATAAATTACATAAACTGAGTATGAACGCATGGCAATTATGACTCTCCGTTGAGGATTTTGGATATAGATTTTGAACAAGAATAAAATTAATCTACTAATGTGCTTTGAATGAAAAATTTTTATAACAAAGGTTACGCTTGCATGAGCATATAATAATAATAAAACAAAACCAATAGATGACGAGATAATATGGAATCAGTCATAATCATAAAAAGGATAAAAATAATTAATAACAGAATGAAGACAATACACAAAATACACAAAAAATATAGTCATAGATAGATATAGATAATATCAAAGCGATAATGACGTTGATGAATCCTGTCAATTGTAAATTTGAAGTAAATATATTATCTGTATCAATATGATAGATACTATTTTCTTTGAAACTTGTCAAAAACGGTTAACAATAATAATGGCTCGATAAGATGAAGTAACTACATACTATTAGTCTCAAATTGAAAAAAACTTACGCACTTACGCAAAATGTTGGCATATTTTTACATTGTTCTTGTCCCTCTCCAAGGATGAAACTACGTCTAAACGCATAGTTTCAATTGGTAACAGCGAAATTCCAATCGGTGGAATATACAGACACGCATTGTTGTGTTGAGCCTTCACGGCAGGTAATCACCTTAAATAACTTCTGGACTTCTGTTGTTCTTGTCTTCAAGTTAAAATTTTAAGTTAAAATTTAGTAATAAATTGTTTCTAAAAATATTAGATATATAAATCATATATTTATTAATGATTTTAGAACAATAAACAAAAAAAAAAAAAGCTTGATTATATATCGTAATAGATACCTATATAAATAAGTAAATTATAAAAATGAAGTTAAATTTTAACATTAGAGTGTACAAAAAGTTTGGAAACCTTCTTCGTGGATTTTAAAAATTCCACCTCTATAGAGTAAGCTCTACAAAATTGCTTTATATGATTCTTTTTTTCTCATGACAATCGTTAACTGTTAAAGAAATATTAAAGGTGTAAAAAGAGCCAGGAGTGAGAAAAATTGAAATCTGGTGAATGCTTTCAACAATTTTTGCGATAATTCTTCTTGGTATATGTTCTTGGCTGTTTTTCCAGGAGTTTCTCTCGTTTGTTTAAAAGGTAGTTAATTGATAAATTGAGCTTATTGTTTGGAAATATATTAAAATTCTATTTGCATCCCGAAAAAACTGACGCTAAGACTATTGAAACCCAATTCCGGACAGAAATTTGCTTCGGTCCTAAAATTTGCTTCGGACATGCCAGGTCACTTATCTACTATTCTTTTTAAAGATACACATTTATCATATCGGTATATAAATTTTTATTTCCTTAAACTTTATTTTATAAAGGACTAAATCTGTGCACGGTTTTCAGTTTTTTCGACTGTTAAAAATGAAATTAACATATCGACGTGTAAAGGCTTTCAAACAAAATGATTATAGATAAGATTAAAAATGAAATAAATAAATGGTTTTAAACTTTTAGCTCTACTTTTGATATTCATAAGCTACTATTCAGTTCAGTGTACGTTCATTATTTATATTTTAATATTGTTTGTTTGGTAGATTTGGTATTTAACTCTACATTCTAGTGATCAGAAAGAATAATAGTATCTAAATATATATATAAAAGTAAATAAAACTTTTGTATATATAATGTATATTAGAATTAAAATAGTTTTATGATTGCATCGATATTTTTGATTAATTAATTTTTGTTTTTTAGTTTGTGGTACAACAGGCAAGAGAAAAGCGTGTAAGAATTGCTCCTGTGGTCTGGCTGAGGAACTTGAAGCAGAGAAGAAGCAAGGAAAAATTGAAACACAAAATGCAAAATCTAGTTGTGGCAGTGTAAGTTCTTCTAAATAAACATTAATAAAGTGTCTAACATGTTAATACTGTAATTGACATAAGTATTTAATTAATTAATATTTTATTTATATTTTCTTTTAGTGTTATTTGGGTGATGCCTTCCGATGTTCAACATGTCCATATTTAGGCATGCCAGCGTTTAAGCCTGGAGAAAAAGTTCAGCTTGGTGGCAATTTATTAAAGTCTGATATTTAAGCATTTCAACCAGACAGTCTGATTAAAATGCCTTTGTATTTTGAATTCTAAATATATAAAGTACAAACAGAATTTGTTAAAGAATTTTTGTTTACTTTAAATACAACTTTCCTAAAAAATAAAACAACGAAATAAAAACACAAGTAAACTGACATTCAAAATGAAATATATTTATTTAACGACTTAATTTAATTGTATAAATCACATAATTATAATAATTATATATAGCAGATAGTATTTATAAATGGTTTAATACCTTATGTTTGTGTGCTTAAAATTAGATTAAATTCTGTGGTGTGCTGTGCTAAGCTTAAATGTGAATAATTTACATTTCACAAGGCGTGCCCTTAATTAAATCACGATTTTTACCCATCAATATACGATAGTTAACAGCTGCGGGATCTAATTCCTTGTATAAGTATGTAGGCATTTTGTCAGATAACACCCAAACAATACCTTCAGTGTCAACTTTCAAATCATTTGGAAAAACTAAGGTATGTGAATCAGAGTCAATTAAACCCTGTGTTTCTGAATTATATGGACGCTTAACATTCCAACAAGCTATAGCATCTTTATTGACTTGTGTATAGAAGATAACACCAGTTTCTTTATCATAAATTTCGGCTGTTGATTGACCGTTCATACCGCGATCACCGACATATTTAAAATCATAATAAGCATCTGGACTGGTTACATGAGATTCGTTTTGTAAAACACGATTTGAAACTTTGAATTCTTTTGTACTGGCCAAAGCATGGAAGTAAATGTCTTTTGTGTGATCGGGATTCATTGGTCCAACAGCCATACCGAAAACGCCATCAGTCCATTGGAAATTAACGCCTCCAACATTAAAATCACCATTGAGTGGGTCGAAGTGGAAGAAGTTGTGTTTAACACGATACGAACGATTATCGCGGAATGAATATACAATAACACCATAGGCACCTAAGTCGGGCACATATGCGTAGGCATTGTTGCATTCAGCACGTTCTGAGTCAACAATCTGAAAAAATATAGAATATGAAGAAAACATCATTAAATTTTTTTTAAAAGCAAAAACGTTATAAGTTTACGTACAATATTTGCGAAGAAGGTATCCTCTTTGGTTTGATCTTTTGGAATGGCGAATCGACGTATAAGTTTGTCTTGTTTTAGATCGAATATAACAATTGAATTTGGTGTTATTTGCTTAGCATCGCCGAGGATATCAGCCAAACCTGTGTCTAAGACCCATAAACGGTCACAGGCATCGACTTGTATACGGAAAGTTGAAATAATCGTAGCATTATCTTTAAGACCAATATCGGCTTCAGTTGGCTTTTCAGCATCTAACCGACCACCTGATGTTTTATGTTCGCTTGGCTGCATTTCTATGGGTAAAGTATTTGCTTGCCAGCTTGGGTATGGACGTAATTTTGGAGATTTTTCCGATGAATTTAAGTCAATATAGTTAAGTGAAGCAGCAACACCAGCTTTCCATCTAAAAATAATTTAAAAGTAATTAAAGATGATAATTAGATAATACGATAGATAGTAAGATAGATAATAGTACGGATGGCATATAAAATATTAAAGTGTTTGAACGTTTTAAGTAAAAGTATAGCGCTAGAGAGATAATATATGGACTTCCATTGTTATTGTAATCAATAAATCTCGGATTTCAATTACAAATAGCGTAAAAATAAAAAAGGTTTGTTGTTGTAGTTTACTACTTTTCGAAACCTCTATTTCAAAAAAAAATGTATATAAAATATTTTAGAAATTATACGAAGAGTAGCCCAGCGCAACGACTACAGTAGTTGGAAATGAAATTAAATAATACTACTTACATACAATTAAGCTAGAGGTACTGGCTACTATATAATTGGATTACAGTGAGAGTCATTAACTATTGTAGCGACAAACTGTAGTGTAATCGTGATTTGAGCCTAACTTTGAGACTTAAGTTGTTATGCATAACGTCTTTGAAAAGAGGTTTCGAAAGCTATGTGCTCATATGATTATACAGATATAAATTTCAGTTCTATAAGTCTCAAAAAAATATCTGTTGGATAAGAAAAAAGACAGCAACGATAAGAAATTTTTATAAGTACATGCATTCAATATAAATATATCTATAAATGATAAGAAAAAAATAAGATTTTACAGGGTCATTCTATTCTCCTAGAGGTATATATATATATTTTTTTTTTTATATGCATTACGTGCTATATAAATATATAGTTTGCATTTTTGTTGCGAGAAGGAAGATTGGGTAGCGGATATAACACCGGGATTCCAAGAGTATTTGTCCTATTTTACCGAGTCCTGATCATCGGATCAGGTATCATTGTAGAAAAGTAAGCTTGACAGTCTTCCCTTTTTCTTCAGATATTTAATATTAAGAATTACCAGTAAAAAATATCTTAAATCATTCACGTTCATTAACGAACGTATTAAAAAACGTAGGACAGTCTTTGACCGCTACACGTCTCTGAATGCGATGTCTCTAATCAGGGTTCACGGCCACAGGGATATTTTTCGCAACTGCCAAACAGACGAACTATGTTAACCAGACGGGATGCTTCTGGAAATCACTCGGAATACCTAAATATTCTTGGCATATCGTTGACATCATGCAAACTGTCACTGAGTACTTCTTTTACTGAACTTTTTAATAAAAGATAGGAAGACTTAACGATATGTTGGCATCTGTATACAATTTGGCCACGCTTCAATAAAAGAAAATCAAGGTCTCTCACTAAGATGTCCCGTAGAGATATCAGACTTGTAGTAGGTTTATTTACAGGTCATTGGTTTTTGAGTAACTATGCTAGGAGAGTAAATCTCCCTTTTATTCATACCTGCCGCAGTTGTGGAGAGGACGATGCAGGTGCCTCCCATCTACTTTGCTTCTGCTCAGCAAATGCATGGCGCTGCTTTAGCACTTTGGGGCTTTCTTTTTTGAAAATGTTGGAGAATTGCAAGACCATTCTCTGAATAGCATTATAATCTTTGCCAAAGGTTCCAGATAGTTCTAAGACTTGAGTTTTTAATTGTACGCTAATACAATGAACCTATAAGTGCTTTCCTTGGGATCGCCGGTATAACGTAACTTAACCTAAGCACTGTAATAACTTAATATGACTGTATTTTTTGTTCTATAAGCTGAACTCAATAATCAACGAAAAATGTATGGGGAGTTGGATTAAGCGCTGACAGTGGTTATATTCCACTTAATGGAGCCTACTTTAAATACGAAAAAAAATTTTTTTTTAACTGATTAATAATTTTTTGTGTGTCATATATAATAATTCTGGGTATTATTTATACGAAATGTAATCTACTTCAAAATTGGAAGGTGCGACTGTTTGCAATGTTTAAGGCGCAGCTTCTATTAAATTCATTATTATATTTGTCGTTTTTCCAAATAAGAGAACCACTCTGTACAACAACGAAATCTGTGCAATTATGGAAGTAATTTTGGGTTTGAATTTCATTTGAAATTCGATTTTGCAAACCTTGAATAATTCGCACAAAAATATATTTAAGTCATTGTATATATTTTAACAATTCGCCGCACTTTAATTATTCAATTTAAAAAAAATTTTAAATTTAATTTCATGAACTTTTTCACTTAAGATCTATTGCACCGGGCACCGGTACATTTGGTAATTAAAGTCCACTGGTCATGGCACGAACGAATCAATTTGGAATAATGCCAAAAATTGCAAAATAAGAGCTTAAAGAAAAAATGCCTTCAACCGGATATGGAATAGTTTTTTCTTTTATAATTTCAATTAACCTTTTGTTAAATAACTACAACTTAAAATAAACTGAAAAAAAAATTTATTTCAAAATAAACAAAATTACTAAAGACTTCATGTATCTCAAGTAATATGAAGAGCTATATTGTACTATTTCATAGATAAAAATTTTAAATATCGTTTTCATAGGCAGTAATTCCGTGTCACATTTGTGATGTTGCATAAACGCCTAAAGAGATAAAAATATCTCATAATACAAAATATTGCCATAACAACGGTATATTAATCTGGTTTTCTCATATAATAAATACTAATAGTACGTTTAGACTATCGCCATTCGACAAAAGTACAGCAATAAGTGTAATTTCTCACACAAAATCCATACAAAATGTGCTAATGAGGTTCCATAATTATAGTATAAATCATAATAAAACCAAGAAACTTATTTTGACTTTTCTTCGAATGAAACCTCATAAATAAAGATTAGGTACTATATATCTTAGATAGCAAGATTATTTAATACGATGGCGATGTTTTTATATAAATCGTATACTTGAGTAATGTTTTTATTCTCTTACTGAGGCTAAAGTGGATTTTTGCTCAGATCTGATATCAGATCTGAGATCTGTAAATTATATTCAAAGAACCTTTTCTGGTACCATTTGTAAAAAAATTGATTTTTTAACTGCACTCAAACTTTTACACATTGGTGATGGATAAAAAAACTGTAGATATTAATATAAAATACTAACATATTAATGATATATGGTACTATTATAATACTGTTCTTAATAAATGAGCCAGTTGAAAGAAAATTCTATGATGTCTTCCAATCGTTATGGTTTTTAATTACTTATGATCTTTTAAGATTATGTGAACTATGCGTAAAAGAAGTGTTACGAACTTAATAGAGCTTCTCTGAAAATATATATTTACATTATACAATATATACTGAAGAAATTAATGAAAAGACGGAACCAAGCATATATACGGATATGTCTATATAATATAAAGACATATATCGTGTCTATATTGACATCTAGTCTATATTGCTGTATAATTCAGATGTTTAGATATTCAAAATCAAATTTATATTAAGAGCAAAATAAAAGCCCTTGAGATTTGAATAAATAGAAGAAATGTGCAATACAACAATTCTACGAAAACTTCACAAATATGTCTAGAGAACAGCTTTCAACCATAAAATGTTGTAAAATAAAATATTTCCGTAGTTTAAATTAAAAATAATAATGTTAGGTCACGAAATATAAAGAACTACTCCAATAGCATTTCAAATATAGTATAAAAAATGGATCTTATAAAATGATTTTGTATGTGATTGCTAACAAGTTGAAGTAATAGACCATACTAATATATCAACATCATGCTAAAGTTAAGGAGTTATGAGGAGATTAATTGGGGATTTACCATAAGGGTCAGTTCATTGTCACTGAAAAATGATGGAAAAAATACAAATGAAGTTAATTGGAGAATATGAGAAAAGTTTTCTAGATCAGAGATATCTGTATAAACTTCGAAGCACTCATTTGAAATCAAATTAACATATAATAAAATTAGTTTTACTTGTATGGATGTGAGTTTAAAATTTGTGACCAGGTAAGAAGGCTATAGTATCGTTGTCAATATTGGTAGAAATAGTTGAATCACAATATAGATTTCGGGAATATCGTATATCGACTGTGTATTATTTGTTAACTCCGTGAAGCTTAATTAGGGCCGAATATCAGTTGATAGTTTAGGGAGTAAAATAAATAAGGCATAAGCCATAAGTCTTGAGTTTTGTCTTATTTAACTTCCATCAACTAAATAGAGCTTATAAATGGCTAATTTGGATGACTTTACTTGTAGCACCTTAAAAATTGATTATCCACAAAACTTTGTTTTGATCGAAGATAAAAACGATTTATGTTTCAATTAAGTTCTAAATTATTTCGATTGTCTCGAGTCAGCGTCTCTTCAATCAATCAGTTTTTATTAATTTTCGTCAACCAAATAAGATAAAATATGGGTTCTTAATTCCTGAAAGTTTAAATTTTAATATATTATCAATTTAATAATATGTTAATAAATATAATTTGATTAAATTACATATTTAAGTAAATGATATTATGCATTTTTTATTAATTATTTATTATTTATTATTATTATTATTTATTAAATGTTTGGAGAATTTCTTTATTGTAAGTTTCACTTTCAACGGTTTTTAACGTCATTGTTTTCTTCTTTTATTTTAATTTAAATTAAATTGATTTAAAGCTAAATATGACGAAGAACTATATTTTTAACAGAAATGGAATAAGTTGCTCTGAATTACTGGCAATCTAAAAATTATATATGAACAATAATTCTACAAAAATATTTCCGAAAAACACTGATGATGGGTATTTGGCAATACCCGAAACAGCTGCATAGTCAGCCAAAAAGTTCATAAATTAACAATAAAAATTTTGTTGTTATTATTCACTACTATTCATTTCTTTTCTAATTTGCAATTCATTTTAATTCTAATAAATTTTAATTAAATTTCTTTATGATTATTTATGATTTTGTCACAGTTAATTCCAGTTTTAGCGAGCCGTCTTAGACACACTACCGTGTTTACTGTGCTTCTGAGACAGGTTACTAACTAACCTGCTAACTAATAGACTTGCTGACTTAGTAGCATACTTATTCGTAACATATTATTAATAAATGGTTCACAGAAAATTGGTCT